GATGCCAACGATGCCAACGATGCCAACGATGCCAACGATGCCAACGTTTTTTGAATTAGGTGTATACGTAGCAAGTGACTGTACTTCGCATTACTGTGGTTTTTGATATTCTGCAAACTCTGTATTTCCCAGATGCACGCTAAAATTTTGTTTTCCGCTGAAGGCTATCAAAAATAATTCGTCTCTTGTCTGGTGGCTGTAAAAAAACAATTTCACGACAAGCCGTTGAAATGTCCAAGTTTGCAGATTTTTAAAAAAACCGGAGTAATTTCCTCGTAGCTCAGTATAGGCCAGGATTGTGGAGCTGAAGGCTATTCCCCAACCCTATTCATTTTGCCATGATTTTGAATTTTTTGAGGAGATAATTTATAAGGCTAAGAAGTCTTTTCTTATAAAAAATATTTAAAACTTAATATTAAAAATGTGTCCATACCCACCCCACAGAGGAATTGGAATTTGCAAGGGGTAGAGGGGTCAGAGAAAAAGCAAAAATTGTATGGAAGAAAATTGGAATTTCCAGGGGGTACGGGGGTGTCTTAAAAAAATTTCTCCGTGAGGGGGGTATGGATAATTTTTGGAACTACACAATATCAAATTTAAGCTAGGTGACAAAAACATGAGGCCCATCCCCAATCTAAAATTCCCCCCTCCGGTTCCTGGTAGAGCACTTGATGGACAAACTGATGTAGAGCTGTTTTCGTGTAAGTGTGAAAAGCTTGAGGAATTATGACTGTCTTGCCACGACTGTGCTAGATTTTTGATTGACAGATTTTTTTGTGTGTGATTGGTCTGGTAGTGAGGTGTTCCTGGTGTGACCGTGTTCCTGCCATGTTCATGCCCTGTTTGGGGTATTTGATTGGATGGAGAGTAAATTCTTGTGCAATGTGATTGATCTGGCCTATGCCTTGCTGTGTCACAACCGAGTTTGTACCATCAGATTTTTACAGTCACACCAAAACTTCTCTGTCTAATGAGGGTTTGAATCTCAGGGATTTGATTTTGTTGTTACTACTTTCAGTATTTTCTTGATTGATCACGCCTGGACTTACGAGCAGCGGTATGCCAAATCCCATCTTGATAACGTGCCTGGTCTTGCTGAAAGGATGGCTGCTTTGATGGGAATTGAAGGTAGATTTATATGAAAGAAAGTACATGTATTATAATGTAACAACAATAACAACAATGTGCTTTATTTGTACCACAAATTGCAATAAGGAGAAAATATAAATATAAGTATATTTACAGAAGAATGGTAGTGGTTACCTAGAATAACTATTAGAGCTTACGAGTTGTAACACAAATATCTGAAATTACAAAGTATGGGTGGAAAAGAAGACTAAAATATAAAGATTACAATATCGATAGGTATCACTATATAAATGTCATCATAATAAACTGATCTAATGGTATTGAATATGGAAGTTTTGATTTCTTTGATGTTTAAGGCCCTGTTACACGTTGAAACTTTAAGCTTAAACTTGTGTGCAATGGCGTTGTGAGACAAGTTGCACGGGGGTGTTACGCAGCGCAAAACTTTCTGAAACTTGTCACAAGAAATTTTCACAAAAAGTAGAACCACTTTCTACTCGTGCAACTGAAACTTGTGTCAGGAACAAGTTTTAGGAGGAAATTGCACAGTGTAACAACCTCGTGAAACTTGTCTCGCAATGCCATTGCAAGCAAGTTTCAGCTAAAATTTTTAACGTGTGACAGGGTCTTGCTTAGTTTTTGTGTAGGATATTTATCTGTTCAAGTGAAGATCTCTGGACTTTCAAAGTGTTTGTATTGTTGAAGCTGTGCATCTTTTACTTATAAATACCATTGGTATTTGTGAATATTTTATATTTAGTTTAAGTGCACAGCAACTACTTTACAAATAAAAAAAAGAATTAAAAAATAATAATCTCATTATTAGCCGCGGAAGGAGAGGAATTATCAAAAGAACAAAGAAGAGATGAAATACTCTCCAAGATGTGGTGGTAGGTGATGATTTCTTGCTGTAGGACTTTTAGTCTGGATTCTGTTTTTTCCCTTCTCCAGCAAAAAGACCTTTTATCTAGAAGGTTTGTTGTAAATGAATCCAAGTCGTAATCTTTAAGAGAATGTTTTTGTAATTTCTTTATAGTTTTAACCAGACGTATAGGACTGGAATAATGGTGAGTGTAAATCCTGTCCATTTTAAAAGAGGATCCAGAAATTATAGGTTCGCCATGCCCTGACTTAGATCAACCCAGAGGTTGTTTCAGGGTTCTATCTGTGAGTTAGCCATGCCCTGACTTAGAACAGTCCAGAGGTTGTTTCAGGGTTTGATCTGTGAGTTAGCTGTGCCCTGACTTAGATCAGCCCAGAGGTTGTTTCAGGGTAAAAGTTTTCATTAATACACTAAGCAATATTTTCCTTATTTCTTGGGCAATGAAGCTAATATCAATATTGCAAATTACTAACATACTTTTCACATAATTTAGGCATATTCTGAGGGCAAAACACTGGATGCTACTAATCCTGAAGATAAGAATTCCCTCTGGTACATTATGGATGAGTTTGGGTCAAGAATACAGCATTCAAATGAGCCCACCTGTAAAATGGCCCTCTTTTACTATATTCCTACAAATATCTCATTCACAGTAATGTGGCCCACAATAAATCTTGAGTATGGAGGTACATGTATGGATAGAACAAAGAATCGATTTTATAAAACCTTGGAACAACCTCTGATCAAAGTCGAGGCATGTCTAACTCACAGATTGAACCCTGAAACAACCTCTGGGCTGATCTAAGTCGGGGCACGGCTAACTTACAGATAGAACCCTAAAACAACCTTTGGGCTGATCTAAGTCAGGGCANACCACAAATTGCAATAAGGAGAAAATATAAATATAAGTATATTTACAGAAGAATGGTAGTGGTTACCTAGAATAACTATTAGAGCTTACGAGTTGTAACACAAATATCTGAAATTACAAAGTATGGGTGGAAAAGAAGACTAAAATATAAAGATTACAATATCGATAGGTATCACTATATAAATGTCATCATAATAAACTGATCTAATGGTATTGAATATGGAAGTTTTGATTTCTTTGATGTTTAAGGCCCTGTTACACGTTGAAACTTTAAGCTTAAACTTGTGTGCAATGGCGTTGTGAGACAAGTTGCACGGGGGTGTTACGCAGCGCAAAACTTTCTGAAACTTGTCACAAGAAATTTTCACAAAAAGTAGAACCACTTTCTACTCGTGCAACTGAAACTTGTGTCAGGAACAAGTTTTAGGAGGAAATTGCACAGTGTAACAACCTCGTGAAACTTGTCTCGCAATGCCATTGCAAGCAAGTTTCAGCTAAAATTTTTAACGTGTGACAGGGTCTTGCTTAGTTTTTGTGTAGGATATTTATCTGTTCAAGTGAAGATCTCTGGACTTTCAAAGTGTTTGTATTGTTGAAGCTGTGCATCTTTTACTTATAAATACCATTGGTATTTGTGAATATTTTATATTTAGTTTAAGTGCACAGCAACTACTTTACAAATAAAAAAAAGAATTAAAAAATAATAATCTCATTATTAGCCGCGGAAGGAGAGGAATTATCAAAAGAACAAAGAAGAGATGAAATACTCTCCAAGATGTGGTGGTAGGTGATGATTTCTTGCTGTAGGACTTTTAGTCTGGATTCTGTTTTTTCCCTTCTCCAGCAAAAAGACCTTTTATCTAGAAGGTTTGTTGTAAATGAATCCAAGTCGTAATCTTTAAGAGAATGTTTTTGTAATTTCTTTATAGTTTTAACCAGACGTATAGGACTGGAATAATGGTGAGTGTAAATCCTGTCCATTTTAAAAGAGGATCCAGAAATTATAGGTTCGCCATGCCCTGACTTAGATCAACCCAGAGGTTGTTTCAGGGTTCTATCTGTGAGTTAGCCATGCCCTGACTTAGAACAGTCCAGAGGTTGTTTCAGGGTTTGATCTGTGAGTTAGCYGTGCCCTGACTTAGATCAGCCCAGAGGTTGTTTCAGGGTAAAAGTTTTCATTAATACACTAAGCAATATTTTCCTTATTTCTTGGGCAATGAAGCTAATATCAATATTGCAAATTACTAACATACTTTTCACATAATTTAGGCATATTCTGAGGGCAAAACACTGGATGCTACTAATCCTGAAGATAAGAATTCCCTCTGGTACATTATGGATGAGTTTGGGTCAAGAATACAGCATTCAAATGAGCCCACCTGTAAAATGGCCCTCTTTTACTATATTCCTACAAATATCTCATTCACAGTAATGTGGCCCACAATAAATCTTGAGTATGGAGGTACATGTATGGATAGAACAAAGAATCGATTTTATAAAACCTTGGAACAACCTCTGATCAAAGTCGAGGCATGTCTAACTCACAGATTGAACCCTGAAACAACCTCTGGGCTGATCTAAGTCGGGGCACGGCTAACTTACAGATAGAACCCTAAAACAACCTTTGGGCTGATCTAAGTCAGGGCACGGCTAACTCACAGATTGAACCCTGGAACAACCTCTGGGCTGATCTAAGTCAGGGCATGGCTAACTCACAGAACAAACCCTGAAACAACCTCTTTGTTGATCTAAGTCAGGGACGGCTAACTTACAGATCAAACCCTGAAACAACCTCGTGGCTGATCTAAGTCAGGGCACGGCCAAACCACAGATCAAACCCTAAAACAACCGAAGGCTGATCAAAGGTAGAGCACAGCTTACTCGATATATATCAAATGGGAATTTAATATTAGGTTTTTCAGAGAGAGGAAAATTTAAAAACTCAGTTAATACCCTCAAATGAAGGAAAAAACGTAACAAACTCTACTTGCATGTGATGCCTTGTTCAGGAATCTAACCCAAGACCTCAGAGTTGAGAGGCAAGTACCCTATGCTTAAAATATTTTTGTTAATGTTTTGGTACTTTCCATTGATAACCAAAATTTAACTTCTRTTTTCATTTTAGAGGAATTAACAAGGGACTATCAGCCACAAGTAGAGGACCCCTATTTAAGAATTTTTAGACTGTTCCCATGGCAACCATGTAATGTTGATGAGGAAATTGCCAAGCATTTAAAAGAGATGGAAGACAATGACACAGATACAAAACAGGTAAATATGTTTAAAGATAGGAGATACTGTCATCTAGTGAATTGGATCAGGCCTAAAGATAGACAGACAGATGGATGGACAGACATTCAGATGGACAGACATTCAGATGGACAGACATTCAGATGGACAGACATTCAGATGGACAGACAGACAGATGGACATACAGATGGGCAGACAGACAGATATAGTGGCAGACAGAAAGGAAAGACACATTTTAAGACAAGACCATGACAAAACAAGAAACGAACTGTTACGCAATCAACTAGGACAGACATATTGTTGGAAGAACAGCGTAGACAGTTATCCTGAGAGAACAGAAAGACAGTCAAGATCATAGACACACAGACATGCTGTTCGATAAACCTCTGGGCATAATGTTTTCCCATTTCATACCACATGTCATTCCATAGAGTATCATTTCTTTGTTAAATGGTTGCACACAAGAAGACATATGAATATGAATACAACTCAAACAAAAAATCTTAACATCAAGAGAATGACACGTGGTCATTCAAGGGCGGATCCAGGGGGGGGGGGAGCAAAGGGGGCTGAAGCCCCCTCTTTGGCAGAAAAAAAACTAAACTAAACTAAAGAATTAGATTTTTTTTTTCATTTTTTCCATTGTGTTGGCGGAAGAAACTCATTAGCCCCCCCCCCCCCCCCCCCCCCCCCCCCCCCCCCAAGATTTTGGCTGGATCCGCCCTTGAACAGATAAATTAAACATTCACTTGATTATTTTGTAGGAAGATTATGGGGAACTCTTACCAAAAGGAACAACTTCACCACCTTCTAGAAAACCCAGTAATGGTATTTACAAAGTATTTACAAACTGTCCGCAAGTTAGGGAGTTCCTTACTGACTCAAGGTTTCAATTGGTTGAGGATCAAGAGGATGCTGATATTATTTGGACACTGGATAATTGGAAAGATTTCAGGCAAGGAAGACTGATAAGACTATTTATTTATCCATCCATCCATCCATTCATTTATTTATTCACTTTTATTCATCCATTCACCAATCCATCCATTTATCCATCCATCCATTCATCCATCCATTCATTTATTTATTTATTTATTTTTCATTTATTTTTCATTCCTCCCTCCCTTCCTTTGTTCTTTCGTCCCTTTTTCCTTCTTTTTTCTGTTCTTTCGTGTGTGTTTTTTTGTTCTATTTATTCTTTCGTTTTTCTTTCTTTCGTTTTTTTTTTTTCGTTTGTTTACTCGTTCATTCATTCATCCTTTCCCTCTCTCCTTCCTTTTCTCTTTCATTCGTCTGTTTGTTCATTCGTTCGTTCACTAATTCTTTCATCCATTCATCTTTGCAGGTCTTTAGAGAAAACTGGCCAGTTTATAAACCAAATTCCATCTGAAAACCTCTTAACATGCAAGGACTTATTAGCTCTAACATGTCAACGATCAGACTTCAAGCACAAGGAGTACGAGAGTATCGAGAATGACGACCTGCTCTGCCGAGGACCGTACTGGTTACCGGTTACATTCAACATCAATACTGAACTGCCTCTCTTTATACRACATTATCAAAGACGAGAAAAAAGGTAACGTCTCTGGTGAACAAAGCACTGTGTTCAAGTGAGGCAAATATAATACTTTATTATATAATTACTAACGAAATATCTATTTTTCTCTATTTGGAAAAATTGATATCTTCACACATGAAAATAACATGTTATTTTCAAGTGTGAATATAACACCATTGCGATGGCTATTCAATAATACACGGAAAGAATTGCCTGAAAAAGCCAAAACATACTTCATTGATAATTATATAATAAACCGAATATTACATGGCCGCTTGGAGATACGAATTTTATCTTCTCGTGTTGAAAATCTCTCACTCGTTCGCTACGTTCAACTCGTGAGAGATCTTTTCAACGCTCGAATATAAAATTCTTATCTCTGCGCGCCCATGTAATATCCTCTATATAACCTTTATTTAACACGGTCTATGCTTTTAGTAGCATAAGGATAAAGAGGGTCGCAGAGTTGGAAAAGGATGGGTAGAGGCGTAGATTTTGGCGCGAAAATTCCCGCCAAAACCACAGGAACCCCATCATTATATGACGTAAATATATAGAACCATTTTATAGTCTTCTTTTAATTAAGAGTTTTTCTGTTGTAATGACATGGAACAAGAGTGGTATAGCGGTGCTCACTCACCCCTGGGGTCTGTTGATCGATTCCTGGCCCAAGCATCACATGTGAGTAGAGTTTGTATGTCTCTACCTTGATTTGAATTTTTTCGGGTCCTCTGGTTTTCTAACGAGCTAGATTCCAATTGATTTCTGAGCCCATCCCACACGGCTTACCGCCTCATGTACTACTTTTTCGTGGGATTCTACCAGCTCACTAGATACACCGGTGCTGATGAGGCCCAATACAGGCCGAAACAGCTGTCCACGGTTTCTAGTTGAGCTGGCTCATTTTCTACGCGACTTGAAGTTGTGAAAGGCCCATTGGCCCTCTTCTTCAGTCGCTTCATACAAGGCTCGTAATTTACCTATTACGCATGTTCTTATATGATTTCCGAGCCCATCCCACACGGCTTACCGCCTCATCTCACTAGATTCCAATTCGATGAATTTGATCAGCCCAGAATACGTTTTGATAAAATTTGAAGGTTCGGAAGAATAATAAAAAGTACTTATTTTAGTAGGGAGAAAAGAAAATAAGGATGAACTAGCAACAAAACTTGTGGATATGATTTTTAAAACTTTTCGTTGCTCTCCAAATGAATAAAATATTCTCTTTCAAATTCAGAGGTCTTGACAACCATTGGATAATCAAGCCATGGAATATGGGTCGCGGATTGGACATAACCGTGACACGTGACTTGAACCATATAATAAGAATGACAGAGACTGGGCCGAAGGTGAGCTTTTGAAATACAGTACCATATTTTCTCTTCTAAGTCCCCCTCTTTTAACAAGCCACCAGTCTGAGGAGCTAGAAATTGTGAGCCCCCGCCTCTAATGCGCCCCTAGCCCTAAGGAATGTTGTGGTCCTTTTCCCTTGGCAGGCCCGGCCTTTGAAAGTCATTTCAGCTATCGAGATTAGATTAAAAGTAATTATAAATTTCCAAAGATCAGGAAAATTTATTAAGCCCCTGCTTCAACAATACACCCCCTTCTAATGAGCCCCCAGTCCAAGAGCACTGAAAATGAAAAAGTCCCCAGGGGGATTTTGTAAAAATCCTATCATGTAAACCGGCTTAATTTATTCTTCTACTGGTATTTTCGCACCTTTCACTAGGTTGCCTGTAAATACATCGACAAACAAGTTCTCTTTCATCGTAAGGATGTTGGCCCCGTTAAGTTTGATCTACGTTATCATCTGTTTATCTGTTCTGTTGATCCCCTTGAAGTCTATGTGGACAGGTTGTTCTGGACTAGATTCGCTAACAAGTACGTTGTCTCTACTTAAATCAGCAGGCATGGACCTCTGAAGTTAATAAACATCGTGTATATGGTTRTCTAGCTTGGGTATAACAAGATAATGTATCAAATTGAGCTGATCCTTGCAGTATATCAAGCAACTTATGCAGCTGCAAATTGAAAGACTCAGAAAAAATTCTGAGTCTTGAACGGGAATTTTTTCAATTTGCAGCTGCATACCGTAAATCCTCTATTTAGTCCCCCGGGGGACTTATTTATTTCAGGCACGTTTGAGGGGGGCTTATTGGAGAGAGGGGGCTTAATTGAGAGGGGGGGCTTATTAATTTAGTCGAAACGGAGTAAGTTGTACGCTGTCAGGATGTAATATGATTGTAACTCAGAATTAAACGGAAGCATTACTATTGACCGTCTCGCATAATCTGTAGTGATGTACATGGCATTTTTATTATTTGATTCACCTGTGTTAGTCTCTCAAGTATGATATACGATTATTGTGAATGGCAAAACTAAAACACGGTAACATTAACAAAGCAAGCTAAAACGAAATGTTCTGAACAATCATTAATAATGTTCCATTGGTACAATAACATGTGATTCTTTAGTTGTGAAGGGGGAGGGGAGGGGGGCTTATTTGAGAGAGGGGGCTAAATAGAGGATTTACGGTAAGTTGCTTCATATACTGCGAGCATCAGCTCAATTTGATACATTTACGACCGGGGTAAAAATATATATTTCATATATATTCTCATACACATAAACAAGATGATATAAGGCATGATTCAAAAAARATGTATTACCCAAGCTAGACCAGAATGCACCTTGTTCGTTATCCCAGGTCTAGCTTTGATCGATAACTTATAAGGCATGATGAACAATAGATGTTTGTACCCAAGATAGACCAGCATGCACCTTGTTCCCTATCCCAGGTCTAGCTTTGATCGATACCTCATAAGGCATGATGAACAATAGATGTTTGTACCCAAGCTAGACCACAATGCACCTTGTTCCCTATCCCAGGTATAGCTTTGATCGATAACTTATAAGGCATGATGAACAATATATTTTTGTACCCAAGGTAGACCAGCATGCACTATATTTCCTATCCCCGAAAAGGTTGAACTATACTAACGACACGACCTTATTCGTTTAGGTGTAATCAGTGATAGTATCTCTTATCAGACCACTTGTCATTCATTCCCTAGAGTATCATTTCCTTGTTTAATGGTTGTTCACGGAAAGACATGAATATGGATACAACTCAAACAAAGAATCTTATTCTTAAGGGAATGACACGTGGTCTGAATCTTTTAGGACTATTTTCTGTCTTTCATCTTTGGAATATTTTTTATCTCGGTTAGAAGACTAACGCTTGTCTTAACCTCAGGGTTTTTGCATTGGATAACTTAGAGGATTACGAACAGCATTGCACTGTAATGAATTACCAAGGCTCGTCTCTAAAACAGGTTTGTCAATTTAGTGTTTGGTCTGTGAATTAGCCATGCCATGACTTAGATCAGCCCAGAGGTTGTTTCAGGGTTCAATCTGTGAGTTAGCCATGCCCTGACTTAGATCAGCCCAGAGGTTGTTTCAGGGTTCGATCTG